ACACACACACACACACACACACACACACACACACACACACACACACACACACACACACACACACAAAGGAATGACATCATTCTGTCACCAGTTGAAAATAGCATGCTTTCCATTGACATCATTCTACATCCCGTTGCCAGGAGACATGGGAGACAACATGCGTTACTATGGCGACTGCACTTCACCTTCAAAGCTCCTGACCTTTTTGGTTGTCTGTGGTAGATGTGTGTGTGCAAAACAGACAAGGCAAACTACAGTGTGCGTGTTGTGTAACGTAAATGTTCAAGGTCTTGTCGACGCCTTTGCTGCAATGTAACGATTATGGAAGTGCATTCTGGATTAAAAGGTCTTCCTCAACCAAACAAGATAACCTGCAGGTAGTCTAAGTGTCATGATAATTAAAAAGGTGTTGAGTAAAAGAAAAATGCAACCCTACTCAAAGTTAATTAAGTTATTTAGTTGGATCATGTGCAACGTTTTAAACTGCCAATCAAATCGAATGACCTACTGTGTCCTTCACAAGATTACTCAGGAAACGTGTAGCAGCTCCAAACAAGAAAAGAAACATCTGCAGAAGACTTTGATGAGGTGATAATAGATTTATTGATATCTATACATGATATAGCTTTTTATGGATAGTGCTTTAAACAGTGTTTACCTGAGGACTGTGACCTCAAAGAAGTCCAGCATCTGTGGTTGAAGAACCCGATACAACACAAAGACAATTGCATGGCTCATTTTTAAACAGTTTGATGAAACAGATGTGGTACCATGTAAACTTTGACATGCAGCTGCATCACAGTGACTTTTTATATTTGAACAGGAACTTCTGATTTGTATTTAAGACACTTCTGATGTGTGGCGGATTGTGACATTAGTCCCACAAATGTAGACTGAAGTAGTCAAACATTACACAGAAACTGAGACAATTATAACTTTCTACCAAACTGATTTGTTTCAAAACACAATAAGCGATGTTAGAGGAATACAGCTGAAGCACTGCTTCAGACCGTTTCATTTTCTGTCCTTTTTTGGCATAAGTGCGTAGCTTTCTCAGCTGTCGCTCGCTAATTGAGTTTAGCAGGCGCATCGATGCCAGTCCTCGAGACAGACAAAGGGAGAGGTGGGCATTACGGGGTTTTGCTGGATTAGGTTGACTTCGGGGCCAGTTTTCCACTCCAAGTCTGGCTCGTTGTGCCACCCTGCACATTAAGAGGTAATGTTGTCTCAACAGGACATTCTTCCACTAAAACCCTGCCTCAACAAGGCTTCATTCCCAGAAAGGACACAAAGCTCATCTGATTTGACAGTTATTCGTGTGGATAAGCAAGTGTTATAATAAATCCTATGAACAGTTTTGATAGTGGTGTATGCGGCATAGTTTCTGCCATGACAAGACAAGAAAGACTATATTTTGTTTGGGTACTTTGCTTTTGACATTTTGTCAATTTTTCCAGAACTTTGGCTATCCTGTGCAGAATGTACTTGAGGAAAAGAAAGACTGGAAATGTGAAAAACACAACAGGTCAACTGAAACAAAAACAACTGAACTTCTATTCTGAAGACGTTTAGCTTCCCATCTGTGGAGCTTTCTTGATATAAAAACTGGAGCATGTAGAGTTCCAAGCTTCATTGTGCAAGCTAGATTCACATGCAGATTAAACTCACTCTCCTACCACTGGAGTGTCGTTAGGGTCTTTGTTTGCATGGCTCAAAAACCAAACAATGGCAAACTAAGACCATAAGAATCCTCCAGTTGTTTTGTTTATTATATATTTTGAGGATTTTCCATGTCCTGGACGGCTGAGTATCAACATTAGTATTAGCTGAAATAAGCTAAATCTTCCTTTTGGTATAAAAAGCTCATTGGACCTMATAAAAGGTAAACAATTATGCATGTACTGCAAACCTCTGTATATTCCTTGTTGTTTCTTTGGGCATTACATGCCATTATACTAGTACTCATGGCAACAGTGCTAAATGAATGAAGCTTAGAGTCAAGTATTTCTATGTACAAATGGTCTGAATKATGGCTCTGATCCATTTATGATATAAAACCAATGGCAACACAACATATACTAAAGCAATTAACATCACTGTTTCATGACACAACCACACAGAACAACCAGTCTTAAACAAGAATGGTGTAAAATTGATAAAATTGTACTAAAATAAAAATTTTAAATCAGCTTTTGTGCAAATAGAGAAATAAAAACATCAGACGTGATGTATTCCTTGAACCCAGCAAGGATAAATGTACTTATTCCTTTTTAAATAGAGAGATAAGCTCTCCACTGTAGCATTGCATGCAGTCAGAAGGCTAACTTGTCCCCCCCACCCCCCAAGATGTGACTCCTTCAGTTACTCAAAATGATGCCCAAAGGCCTCAGACTGAAYACAACAGAACAAATCTAAGTGTCCTTGCTGGTTTTATGTGCAAACATGTTACTCTGTTAAAACCATTTTTCATTCTTACTGTATTTTTCCATCTGTCATCTTATTTTTCTTACCCCCATCATCACCTGTGGGTTTCCAATATCGATGGCAAGCCATCTCCAGCAGTTCAAGCCCTCCGAACAGCTTCAGCTGGGCCATGTACACTCCAGCCATGACTAGAGCGTAGAGCCTGAAAGGGGCCCAGAGCCACAGGCCAGTGAAACACAGAGCAATGATGCTGGTCCAGTACAGCAGTGAGGCAGCTTTGATCAGAGCCACTCGCAGCTCTGATTTACAGGGAGGCACACGTGCCACACCGTCCCTGTCAAAAGCTCGGGGCTGGCCTGAGTAGAAGTCCCGCAGGCGGATCTCCTTCTCGGCCCAACGCTCTTGACACCAAGACTGTAAGTCAGAGGATGAGGTTGGGAGAGAAGAGACTGGATATCGGTGGACATGAAAGTGGATTTCACGAGGGAACTGTCCCATTATGAGGTGACGTTCTGTCTGAGGGATGTTCTTGGGGTATGCCACAGTAATATCATGGACAGCATCCAGGTTATCTCCTAAAGAGAAAAAAAAAAAAACACATTTTAAATCAAACAAAACATTTTGGTAACAAATGATTTTCTTTTTCAAATAAAAAAAAACCAACAACAACAAAGTACAAAGTTATGTAATGTTTTGAAACTGAGCTCTAATATGCCCTTCTGACAAACAGGGAGACATATCAAAAGTACAGGATGACACCTGCCAGTGCCTGCTCCTGCACAGCTCAGCCCTATCATGGTAAAAATAGATGAAAGGGGCCCAGATGACCTAGACAAAGAAAACATGCACATCATGTCAGTCAGTGGTGCAGAGAGGGTGGGAGGAGAATAAACTAAACCCTATGATATCACAACACCTGCTCGGAGAGTTAGTGCCATCATCAGCAAACAGGGTGAGCGAGGGCGAGACAGATGTGGTATTTAAGACCCCTGGAGGACTGCCAGAATTAGCTCATACAGAAGAGTCACAGAGGAGCTGTAGTGGGATGAAGTATACGTTTGGGGCTTAAAAGAATAACAGGTATCAGCCATAATCTATAAAAGGAGTAACACCGTAATTTTTCCGCTGGTTTTGCTGATGAAATAATGCCACAGTAACGACAGCATTTGTGGGCCTGTAAAATTTCATTTGGACAAACAGTCATCAAAGTGCATGAGTCTGCTGTCGGACCACAGACTAACTGTAAGTGGACTGAATTAGACGTTACATAACTCCAGGAGTCGGTGATGCGGATCATCCTGACCTTTTTGTAGTCGTTCCACAATGAAGGTGAACCCAGTGGTGCGGGGATGAAGAACATACTCCATCTTCGGCAAGTTGTTCTGTACAGCAAATACATCACTCTTTGCTCTTGTGTTTTCTGCAGGAGAAAGCACAAAATAAACCTCAGGCAACTACGCTCTAATTTACGTTGGACATATTACACACTGTGAATGTGTAGCTTATTCCTTACGTTTAAAATTGAAAGTCAGTAGATAAACTTTTATTTTTGTATGACTTCATTTTTAACCTGGTTATTTTACAAATACCAATTTCTTTTTAAACTGGCTATTTTGGACAAAATTTTCTATACAAAAAAGAACTACAAGCTCTCAAATATGTSACATGTCACTCTTCCTTCATTCAAACATTCAACAAAAGTAGAGATGAGTCATGGAAATGTTTTAAACTTAAATATAGCCTGAACATGATCCTCAAGAAAAAGGTCTGTGTGTAAGCCTTCAAAATAAAGCGTTAGGAAGTACTTAACACAACAACTTCTGTGTAAGATGTCAGTACATAACGTCTACATGCCTTAGTTTCATGTGTCAAATTAAGCCTTTAGTTTAAGTGGCTTAAACACAAATATGTGTGGACATGGGAGCAAACAAACACACACAGGGAGGCAAAAGTAACACTAAAAGCCATAAGAAATGAGCAAATTATAATGCAAATTAATTGAACACCTCAATACAGGTGCTGGTCATAAAATTAGAATATCATGAAAAAGTAGATTTATTTCAGTAATTCCATTTAAAAAGTGAAACTTGTATATTATATTCATACATTACATACAAACATATATTTCAAATGTTTATTTTGTTTAATTTTGATGATTACAAATGACAACAAATGAAAATCTCAAATTCAGCATATCAGAAAATTAGAATCTTGTGAAAAGGTTCAAAATGGATGGCACCTGGTACCACACTCTAATCAGCTAATTAACTCAAACCACCTGCAAAGGCCTTTAAATGGTCTTTCAGTCTAGTTCTATAGGCTACACAATCATGGGGAAGACTGCTGACTTGACAGTTGTCCAAAAGAYGACCATCGACACCTTGCACAAGGAGGGCAAGACACAAAAGGTCATCGCTAAAGAGGCTGGCTGTTCRCAGAGCTCTGTGTCCAAGCACATTAATAGAGAGGCGAAGGGAAGGAAAAGATGAGGTCGAAAAAAATGTACAAGCAAGAGAGATAACCGCACCCTGGAGAGGATTGTGAAACAAAACCCATTCAAAAATGTGGGGGAGATTCACAAAGAGTGGACTGCAGCTGGAGTGAGTGCTTCAAGAACCACCACACACAGACGTATGAAAGACATGGGTTTCTGCTGTCGCATTCCTTGTGTCAAGCCACTCTTGAACCACAGACAGCGTCAGAAGCGTCTTGCCTGGGCTACAGAGAAACAGGACTGGACTGCTGGTGAGTGGTCCAAAGTCATGTTCTCTGATGAAAGTAAATTTTGCATTTCCTTTGGAAATCAAGGTCCCAGAGTCTGGAGGCAAAGAAGAGAGGCACTTCATCCACGTTGCTTGAAGTCCAGTGTAAAGTTTCCACAGTCAGTGATGGTTTGGGGTGCCATGTCATCTGCTGGTGTTGGTCCATTGTGTTTTCTGAGGTCCAGGGTCAACGCAGCCACATTCCAGGAAGTTTTAGAGCACTTCATGCTTCCTGCTGCTGACCAACWTTTTGGAGATGCAGATTTCATTTTCCAACAGGACTTGGCACCTGCACACAGTGCCAAAGCTACCAGTACCTGGTTGAAGGACCATGGTATCCCTGTTCTTAATTGGCCAGCAAACTCTCCTGACCTTAACCCCATAGAAAATCTATGGGGTATTGTGAAGAAGAAGATGCAATACACCAGACCCAACAATTCAGAAGAGCTAAAAGCCACTATTAGAGCAACCTGGGCTATCATAACACCTGAGCAGTGCCACAGACTGATCGACTCCATGCCACGCCGCATTGCTGCAGTAATACAGGCCAAAGGAGCCCCAACTAAATACTGAGTGCTGTACATGCTCATACTTTTCATGTTCATACTTTTCAGTTGGCCAACATTTCTATAAATCCTTTGTTTTTATTGGTCTTCAGTAATATTCWAATTTTCTGATATGCTGAATTTGAGATTTTCATTTGTTGTCATTTGTAATCATCAAAATTAAACRAAATAAACATTTGAAATATATGAGTTTGTATGTAATGTATGAATATAATATACACGTTTCACTTTTTAAATGGAATTACTGAAATAAATCTACTTTTTCATGATATTCTAATTTTATGACCAGCACCTGTAATGATGTTAAAATGTGTGATTTTGGTTAATGTCTAACTGCTCTGAAATGGTTTGCTTTACACAGTCAGTGTAAAGAGTTAACACAAGCACTGCTCACTCATTCTAAAATGGACAAGTAACATACAGGCAAATGGTGCCAGAAATGTGTGGATTTTTGCTCTGTTTACTTCTCACCAGTGAGGTCCGTGCCCTCAGGGAACAATAACAGCTGCAGGGGCTCCCTAATGTCACAAAAGTAGTCCAGCATGTTTTCCAAATGTTTTCTGTCCACATCCCAGCGACGCTGAATAAAGACAAAACAGGCCACCTGCATTGCCCACCCTGCAAAGTGCATGTAAAGTCATTACACAAAAAACTTGTTTAAATCTGCTCCCTTTGAAATGTTAACATAATGTTTTATGCGTTTGTGCATCTGTTTTCGTTTCTCTTGTAAATGAGAATGAAATAAAGTGTCTAAATAAAAGCAAATAAAATTATTTTAATAACTGGTAAATACTTTATTTTTATCATGCTGTGTGAGACTTCAGAGCAGACTGGGCCAATATTTCTCAGAACAAAAATCTCTTTGAATTCAACCTTTTTTGAGTTTTCCTTTGACATCAGCATCTTTTGAACTTGTTTTATCAGTCAAGATGTTTGTCCCTATATGAATAATTTAGTACAAGTCAAGCAAACAAACCAACAAGTGATGTATCTCCAGTCAGCAAAAAAAGAATGTAACACATATCTTCTGACTTCTTAATATTAGCGTCAAAGAGCAATAAGGTGAAAGCTGTTTTTATTTCTTTGGTTGAATTAATTAATATTGCAGGTTATATACAAAGACATTAGAACTAGAACTGTGGCTTAAAAATGCCAAGCTCTTTTTAAAAAATGAAGAAACAAAGGAAACAAACCCTAAAGACGTTGTGCACAGTAGTGCAAATCGTTATGCAATTTGATGTTTTCAGATATGCCCTGCAAAGCAGACATCATCTTGCGCAAGCGTCCAAGAGTGTGTTTGTGTGAGTGGAAAAGGGCAGGGCACCCACTGTATACACACCGAAGCCAGGGACGGCCTTGAGTGCAGCTTTGAGGCAGATCTTTTCCAGACGAAGATAGCTGTACCTGAGGAGACAGCACCAAAGAAACATCCAGTCCAGACGAGTGCGGTGGTTCATGATGATCACACTTCGCTCCCCAGGAATAAAACCATCTCCTGTGATCACCACCTTTACCCCAAACACCAGCTCTAGCAATGACTAAAATAAAAAAAAATAGAGTGCAGGGGCAAAAAGAATGAGAAGTGTTTCAAGAGTGATGCAGAAAAAAAGATGTTTTATCAACAAAAACAAAATGGAGAAAAGGGTGGAAAGACTGCGATTAAGACGTCAAGACGAACAGTCTTGCAAAAAAACAGCTATGATCAACTCAGATCTAATTACATAAAGATGTATACATAAATTCAAAATAATACAAATGATCTAAAACAGAAGCTTCTAAATTAATGTACGCACCACAGGCAGAGTGAGCCAGGTAGCGATGAGTCGATCAGTGATCCAGCGGTACCACGCAGGAGACAAGAGTAAGAGAGGCAAAAATGGTCCCAGCATGAAGATACTCCCAAAGAAACTACTCAAAAATAAAGTTATGACAAAGTACAGGCCTCGCACTGACACAGCCATCTGCAAGAGAGAAAACAACATTAGCTCAAGAACATTTCAAAAGTTAGTTAAATGCCAAGTTAAAAAAGCTAAAAAAATGCAGGTTAATGAAGAATGACGACAAAAAAGAGACACATACCAGTACAATTCAAAATAAATAGTTCATGAAATATTTGAATAGCCACTATAAAAACGAGCTGGAAAAAAAAAATCAGCAATATGCAATGAATGAGATTACTGACATTTTTATCTACAAAGACTGCGAATCTGGTGTTCTTTTGACATATTTTCCCCACAAACAGTGGAAAAACCAGAACAGGCATTCTGAGCATGGAATGTAAATATGGGAACCTTTCTGATGGTGGGTGAGAAACTGTTGGTGCATCGTGACAAAAAAATCAAGTTTGACTGTGGCGATACTGAACATGTTCACTAGATGAGTGAGATAAATTAAGTTTTCCTGGTATCTGTGAAGCAAAATGCGGTAAAATTTTGGTGTTTTATCTGATGCATTAAAAGTTGTTTATGTTATGAACAGAAAATGTATAACTACAAATTTAAATGTCTATATAATTGTGATTCTCATTAGCAATATCTCTGACAGATCTCTGATCCCTTTCAATCTGGTTTTCTAAAACATCATTCCACTGAAAGTGCTTTAGTAAAAGTCCACAATGACCTGTTAATGGCTGCTGATGAGGGAAAATGCTCTGTGCTGGTTTTGTTGGATCTTAGTGCCGCCTTTGACACAGTTGATCATGCAATCTTATTAAACAGGCTGAAGGTCCTGGCTGGTATTTCTGGCTCAGCTTTGGATTGGCTCACCTCATATTTATCACACAGGTCATTCTGCATTAAGACAGATAGGTTTTCCTCTGACTATGCCCCCTTAACTTGTGGGGTGCCACAAGGCTCAGTGTTGGGACCGCTTTTGTTTTCCTTTTATATTATTCCACTTGCTGGCATCATTCAGTCCTTTTCAGGTATTTCTTATCACATCCACGCCAATGATATTCAACTGTATTTTTCATTTAGACCACATCAACTGGACAGGTTGGCCATCCTCGTCCAATGTTTGTCTGTGACTGGCTCTCGAACAACTTCCTGGCTCTTAACACCAGTAAGACAGAAACTATGATTATTGCTCCCAGTCGCTTGAATCAAAATATTAGCCAGAAAATTGCATCTTTTTCCCTGTTAGTAAAATCAAAAGGTAAAAAATTTAGGTGTCACATTTGACTCAAAATTAGGCCTCGACTCACACATTAAGGCTGTTTCTTTCATTTAAGAAACATTTCTAAGATTAGACATATGGTCTCCAGAGTTGATCTTGAAAAAAATCATTCATGCTTTTGTCTCATCTCGTCTGGACTACTGTAATGCCCTTTTCAAATGACTGGATAAATCCACAATTTTCCGTAATTAATTCAAAATGCAGCAGCCAGACTTCTCACCAAATCCAGCAAATTCTGCCATATCACTCCTGTTTTATATTCATTACATTGGCTAYCAGTTGAGTATAGAATTTGTTTTAAGGTACTCGTGCTGACATACAGAGCATTACATGGCCAGGCCCCTGACTACTTTTGCCAGCTTGTAACTAAATATTCTGTTGCTCGTTGTCTTCGTTATGAGACTTTGAATCTCCTGGTTGTACCGCAAACTCGATTAAAAACTAAAGAGGACCGGGCCTTCCAGTAGGTGGCCCCAAGGCTGTGGAACAGTTTGCCCTTACAGCTTTGTTTTGCTGACTCTGTGGAAGTTTTTAAAAAGCAACTTAAGACATTTTTATTTTCCCAGGCTTTTACGTCTTGATTTATTGTCATGTGCTTTTCTTTTGTTTTGTTTAGTGTGTTTTCTACTGTACAGTGCTTTGTGATTTTATGTCTGTGAAAAGCACTTTATTATAAATAAATTTTACTTACTTTAAGTATTCCTGTACACTGGTAGATAATGTTTTGTATTTGAACAATGAAAACATCTTAAATTAACAACAAAAGACAAAAAATACTTATTATTAACTTTAATTTTATCTAATAGAAAATCCAACATGGCTGGTTGTACTGGTTTTATTTTACTATAAATTATTTGCATGTCTATCCAAGTTAGAAGCTAGATGTATAGTAGCAACTACAGTTGGGGACAAAAATAAGTGGCTTAAAATAAGAGTTCAAACTTAAGCAAATTACAACAGAACTCTAAAAAAGTTGATTTAAAATGTAATTGGTAAGTTAAATGCTTATTATGTGTGTTAACGTCAATGACTACAAAGCTGCATAAATACCCATGACTGCTGTATCCCTGAGGGAGGTGAGCTCAAGTTTAAAACCCAATGACAAGACCTTCAATTATCCATGACATAACTAAGAAGTTAAATAACCCATCTAGAGATGCCAGAGGGATTCCAGTATCATTTCAGTGACATTGATGGGGCATGCACTTCTACAGCTAACCCTACAACCATCCCAATCAAGAACTGCAAGCTAAAGGAGGTTCAATTTACCTAAATACTAACATAATGTGTTACAGTGCAGTTTTAACTGCATTCAAATAGCCACAATTTAAGTATAGACTTATTGAAAAAGGTTTTTTTAAGGGGGACAAAATTTGATGTGATTACATCTGGTTAAAGGAATATCCAATTGAATCAAACAAATTGCTATTATTTGTTTAAAAAGTAATAGTTTACATAACCTGGTAAGTCATGACTTTGAAGTGGTGTACATTTGCATGTAATAACAAAAAAAACCCTGACTAAGCAGCTGACCCAATAAAGCTTTATCAGACAAAACAAACATGCACAGACACAGAAAAATCTGCCAACTTTCAATGGCAAAAGGTATTATGTTCATATATTTACCAACAAAACAAGCAAACTGCCAGATAATCCCTGCAATTTGAGAATAGTATTTGGATCTTTATTGCTGACGCAAGTATGAAGTGATGCTATGGGGAGCTTTATCATCCCACACATGGTGTTTTCCTCTCATCTACTGTATGACGTTCAGCTCACACCTTTCAAATAATCTTTAAATTGTACAAACCTTCGCTTCGAGCAGCTCGCCCATCATCTTGCCACTGTTGACTAGTACATGACGCAGGGATTCTCATGGCAGCCACCACAGAGGCTCAATGTGCAACACAGGAGTGTTTACGTACATGATTATGCTGGCAATGTGGGTTTAAGTGGTACTAAGCTTAATGATGGAAAATGAAGCGTGACAGCAAGAATAACAGGCTTGCTCAGCAGAATTGCCACATTATGGTTTTGTTTCCAGCAGACGCGTAAGTAAAACACCCTTGGATAGGTGATGTGACTAAGAGATGAGTTGATTCATACACCAGAATTAAACACAATACACCTAGAATTAGGGAAGTGAGAAAATAATTACATAATGAAGTTTAAAGGGATCCCTGATTAGTTGTAACATTAAACTTTATTTGATAAGCATATATTTTAACTGTAAAATAAAGACTGTAAAAATACTGTAGGCTGTTTAGTTTTGTAAATTTTTTAAATATATTTTAACACAGACGGAGCCATTTTATTTACATGCAAAGCATTCTGGGTAAATAATGACGTGGATAGGTCATTGATGCGAGGCTGCTAGCGAGCTACACCCACCCTGAAGGTTAATCTTGGACAATATCTGATGATTGACTCTTTTAAATGAAACCAGAGAGCGTTGACAGAGAGGAGAAGGTAGAAATGACTCAGTCTGTAACTGAAAATATGGATGGAGGACAACAGAGCTGCTTCATGGAAGAAGAACCTCAGCTTAGCCTGTAAGTCTTTGCGCTAGTGCTGACGCTATTTTGCCTTATATGTATTAGCTCGGCGCTAGTGCGACAAACAAGCTAAACTGAGGTCCTCCATCCATATTTTCAGTTGCAGGCTGAGTCATTTTTGTGTTCCCCTCTCTGTCATGTGGATGGAGGACCTCAGTGACGACAGGAGAATATGTAGCGCTGAGCTAATACATATATATGGTGATAGCATCGGGGCTAACGCTAAAGCTAACAGGCTAAGCTGAGGTTCTTCTTCCATGAAGCAGCTCTCTCCATCTATATTTTCAGTTACAGGCTGAGTCATTTCTACCTTCTCCTCTCTGTCAACGCTCTCTGGTTTCATTTAAAAGAGCCAACCATCAGATATTGTCCAAGATTAACCTTCAGGGTGGATATAACTCACTAGCAGCCTTGCACCAATGACCTATTCACGTCATCATTTACCCAGAATGCTTTGCATGTAAATAAAATGGTCCCGTCCATGTAATATATTTTTAAACTTTTAGTTTAAAAATTATAAAAACTAAACAGCCTACAGTATTTTTATTCTCTTTATTTTACAGTTAAAATAGATGTTTATCAAATAAAGTCTGATGTTTCAACTAATCGGGGATTCCTTTAAAACATTTAATAGATGTTTTCCCTCCTGCAATGCACATGGCATCCAAAGAAACATTTTCACCCCCACCACCACCAAAAACAAASACAGCTCCACACACATTTCACAATGTACTCCACAACAGTCCAAGTCTGGATTCTCTGGCAGTCGTTTTGCATTCCTAACTTCAAGCTAAGACCAGACATCTCAACAAAGTAAAGAGGTCAAACATGTCTCAGCTAAAGAATGGGCTTATGTAGTGTTTATGTGCTCAGGTGGGGGGCCTTGGTCTACAGCATTTTCCTCTACTAAAGTTTCTAAACTCTGTCCCAGTACCTCATTTCTATAACTTTAAACAGGCCATATTTTGTTGTCTTAGAGGAAATACTCTGTTTTTGTTCCTTGCCTAGTATTGCTGGAACTCTAAGCTTACTTATTCCACCTGTGCTTTTTCTTATTGAGAAGTCTGTAATGACTGCGTTAAAGACCTTTGCACTTCATAAATAACTAGGCCCGTCACAATAAACAATAAATCAATTATCATGATAAATTAAACTGAGGAAGATAAATTAAAATGAAGACACTAATTTTCATTTGCCTGCTTGTTTGTTTGTCAGCAGGGTCCTGGAGGGAGCATGGGAGTTCGCCCAACCGGTCTACATGTGTTTTGTGGACTTGGAGAAGGCGTTCGACCGTGTCCCAAGGGGGGCCTTGTGGGGGGGTTCTCCGGAAGTATGGAGTACCGGGCCCTTTGATACGGGCTGTCAGGTCCTTGTACGACCGGTGTCAGAGTCTGGTCCGCATTGCCGGCAGTAAGTCGGGCTCGTTTCCGGTGAGAGTTGGACTCCGCCAAGGCTGCCCTTTGTCACCGATTCTGTTCATTACTTTCATGGACAGAATTTCTAGGCGCAGCCGAGGTGTTGAGGGGATCCGTTTTGGTGGCCTTAGGATCGCATCTCTGCTTTTTGCGGATGATATAGTCCTGTTGGCTTCATCGGAACGTGATCTGCAGCTCTCGCTGGAGCGGTTCGTGGCCGAATGCGAAGCGGCTGGGATGAGGCTCAGCGCCTCCAAATCCGAGGCCATGGTCTTGAGCCGGAAAAGGGTAGAGTGCCTTCTCCGGGTCAGGGGGGTCTTCCTGCCTCAAGTGGAGGAGTTTAAGTATCTGGGGATCTTGTTCACGAATGGGGGAAGAAGGGAACGGGAGATCGACAGGCGGATTGGCGCAGCGTCTGCGGCAAAGCGGGCGCTGTACCGGTCCGTCRTGGTGAAGAGAGAGCTGAGTCAGAAAGCGAAGCTCTCGATTTACCGGTCGATCTACGTTCCTACCCTCATCTATGGTCATGAGCTTTGGGTCATGACCGAAAGAACGAGGTCCCGGATACAAGCGGCCGAAATGGGCTTCCTCCGCAAGGTGGCTGGGCTCTCCCTTAGAGATAGGGTGAGAAGCTCGGTCATCCGGGAGGGACTCAGAGTAGAGCCGCTGCTCCTCCACGTCGAGAGGAGCCAGTTGAGGTGGCTCGGGCATCTGGTAAGGATGCCTCCTGGACGCCTCCCTGGTGAGGTGTTCCGGGCACGTCCCACCGGGAGGAGGCCCCGAGGAAGACCCAGGACACGCTGGAGGGACTATGTCTCTCAGCTGGCCTGGGAACGCCTTGGAGATCCCCCGGAGGAGCTGGAAGAAGTGGCTGGGGAGAGGGAGGTCTGGGCCTCCCTTCTGAAGCTACTGCCCCCGTGACCCGACTTCGGATAGGCGGAAGAAAATGGATGGATGGATGCTTGTTTGTTTTCTTTGTGTCTCCCTCTTTTTTACATCTTAGGAGTGAACTCTGGTGTTGGTATTTGCCAGGTGCACGGTCTCCTAATCTTTGTGAAAGCCCATGAACAGGCATTTAGCCAGAGGAGAGTCTTCAGTTTTCTGATGCCTTCATACAGCTGGTGGCACCTTGGATTGCCGACAGTTTTATTTTTTAACAATATGAAAATTTTAATGTAAACTTCGGTAAACAGGGGTTATAACATCGTATTAGTTTAAACTGGTCTCCAACAATTTTACCATTTATCACAATAATTTCTGAGACAATTTATCATCCAGTAAAATTTATTAATGTGACAGGCTTATAAATAGCATAATTCCAAATTATTACAATAACCTGAAATGTAGACCAAAACAATGCTAGAGTAATATAATAAAACCATTAAATGGTTGATGTATTTATCTTGTTAACTGAGTTACTCTCTGACAAAAGAATGATAAAATGAGAATGGAAAATCAAACGTCGTGGCTGAGTGTGTTTTAGTCAAACATTTTACAAGGGTCATCTTGGTTTGAAACTGGATACATAATGTTATGCTTAGATGTGTCACAAAGGTCTGAGCTGCATATAGGATATTTTGTTCATATTTCTATTAATTTATTAAAAATTAGTGATGAGTTATGTCCACTTTAAATCGCTATATGATATGAATGTTTGCACTTACTCAAACAAAACATTACAGCAATATCAGTGGTGTCCAATCCTTGTCCTTGAGGGTCACATTTTTTAGAGTTTTTTTGCTCCAACACATCAGATTTGAATGAATGGGTGATTAACAGGTTTCTACAAAATTTTAAGAGGTAATTCAAATCACTGAAGCAGGTGTGTTGGAGGAGAAAAATCTCTAAAACATGATGAATAGTGGCCCTCAAGGACCAGGACACTCCTTATCTATGCAGTATTTCATGAAACACTGCATTTCTTCCCTAACTCTAAAGGTCTGTTTTGTTTCAGGTCAAACCTGTCTGCTGTAGCTGGTGTTGACAAACCCTGAAAGCAACCCATTTTGAGAAATAAAACCCAAAGTTTCTTATGAGAAGCGAAATAAGCAATTATGTATTAGGAAGAGCAACACAAATATGAGTGGTAAGATGCCTAAGAAATTGCGATAGTTAATTAAAGCACATACATGTCTATAGTGTAAATAGGACCAACATACTACATTTCAAAACATGATCTTATCTAAGTTTAGATGACAAGAAAATATCTTCTACATGATATTGTYTTATCCTAATCTAATTTCAAATTTAAAGTAGTGTTGTATTATCAAATGTAGTCAGTAAAAAGGTTTTTCTTTAAATGTTGCCTCGACTGAGATTTAGCTTCTGATGTTTTATTTTTTTTAGTGACAGAACCAACGCCTATGTAAGATAACAGGAACAGGATGACAGCAACCAAATCATAAACTGAGCTTTCATATTGCATTACTCTTCTCCAGCACCGTGGGAAAATAAAAACAGATGAACAGATTAGTACACTTTGTTCATAATAACAAAGATAAAAGTTAGCAGTTTTCATTTTCCATCACTGTAACATTGTAAATTATGTTTTCTTTGAATATATTCTGGGGATAAAAGGGGCAGACATTATAAGATTTATTCTTCTTCTGCTACCTTTCATTTTATTTTGATTTTTGTATTTTGTTTTCTACTATTGTATATAGTTATTTTGTTTYATAATGAAATGAATAAWTTTTTTGAGTTGAAAATTGAACTTCTATAATCCCTTCAGGGTGGGGCAGGGAATGAATCTGGGGCAACCGGGATAATCATTATCTTTTATCACAAATGTGAGTTAGGTAAAGCTAAACTATAATTTAAGAGACGTGCTCTTTAATTTAATACCAGTCCTCCATTTACTACGCGGCATTACGAAAACCGACTCGTAYGTTTCATGCAAATAAAATGAAACCTGTTATTGAACATTCATTAARGCAGTACACAACTCTGAAAAGGGCATGTGAAAAGACAACACGAACATATAAAAATATTAACTAATCGTTTGACTGCAGTCGAAGTAATCTTAAATTYAAGCTAACGTGAGCAACAACGCTAACACAGATCAAAACTAGCTTAAGTTAGCATATGTTTAATGCAGTTACTACAATTCCAACTTACTTTCAGAAAAAGCTGCACCCACCTTTGTGTTTTTCCTTGGTAGCCACAGCTAGATTCAGTTGTGACCCACCCAATAGGTACAAAAAACTTGGTTACGACATAGCAACTAGCCCTCTAGCAGTTTGCTAACAGCAGCCTTTTAGTGTCGCGGTCTGATGACGTTGCTTCGCATCTAATTTGTTTTTTCCTGAGGTAACCARGCCAAGCCGCTAAACTGCACAGCATTTAAACGCATAAAATTTACAACAGTCTTTTTTTAACTGAACTGCGACCTATCAACTTATAAGTTATTACCTCTCAGCTGTCCTTACAGCCGGACTTGAACAGAGGGCGCTGTTTGTGCAGGTCTTTGTGACAGGAAACCACATGTGGAGCACAAATCCCTCATTCTGACTAGATTTTAAACGCTGATAGTGAGTGTGAATGTTTTATATTTAGAAGCAGTGAAAGTTTGCTGCACTTCTAAAGTCTTCAGTAGAATGTGCTACAGAGAAGAGTTATAAATAGGAACGGTGCATGCATGGAGTGATAGAGGAATAATACTGTTATTATTTTTGCCCTTTCAAAATGATCCATACCACAATGTGAAGTGGTCAATTTTTTAAATAATCATGCAGTAAAACATTGATAATTGAAATAAAATACCTAAAGGACCAAGGTTCTAAAAATATATAAAAATCTTAAATAGCCTGGCATATGTCTTAGATAAACATAATTATTTAGACAGTATGTTAGCTGCATTAAGGTAGATTATAGCAGAAATTGTTGTAAGTGTGTCTCTGTGTGTGTGCAGTTTAATAAATGGTTCCTAAAATCATGTCATAGTTTATGTAAAAGATGCACACTGTTTACAGATCTTTATATTTTGACTCTTTCAAATTCAATAAATCATAGATAAAACAACAATTCCAGAAGATTAAACTGCTTGTACTCATTGAAAAGAGGCCTCCTGGGGTCAGTTTCTTTCGAATGCCGTATGAGAAAGATGGGGGGAAACATTTCTGACACTTATTCATCAAGTTAACTAAACAAAACACAACACTTTTAATTATTAAGATGTGAGGAAGAYAACATTATGAAAAAAATACACAGAAAAGTTAATCAAAACATTAATCATTCCTGCCTRTTTGTCAAAATGTTTAAAGAGTAAACAAGCACTGGGTTATGCATTCTTGAACAAGTTTAATTTTAGGAAGTTTAACCTTTGAAATAACCTGAATGTCTTGTGAGTGTTGAAATCCCTAAAATAAGCATCCAATGGAAAGATTTGTCTACCGCTATAACTAAGTTTCTGCAAACTAATCTGTTATTTTTATGCCTTGAGAGGTTTTTTTTTCCACGTTCATGTGTTTTTCCCTCAGAACTTAATGTGAGTCATTCATCCAAAACCCATCCATTATGGTGCTGATAATATACTTCTTGACATGACTCCTTCAACATAGCCTTTTAAAGCATTGTAAATTCAAGCATGTGCCGTTTGTTTCTTTTACCCTCAGTTATGAGGTGTTCTATCGAGACAGATGACCTCAGCATTCAGTGATGTGTATGCACACACTGGTCAGCATGCTGGAGTGTAGCTGAGAGTGAACTCGAGCTCTGCGGACGTGATTGCGTGTGTGCACATGGTGAGTGAGTGAGTGAAGCTGAGACGGACTGACAGACAGKGTAGAAAAAGAGAGTGCACTTAATCAAACTGGAGACTTTTCCATGATCTGTTCTCCGTGGCATGCTCTCTATCTGAGAGAACTGTATAGTTTTATCAGTATAAACTTCTCAAGGGTCAGCGCCTCACTTGAGAGAGAGAGCAATGGAAAAAAAAATTGCTTTGTAACAACCTTACCCCCCCCCCCCCACGCCCCCCCCGTTTGCTGCAAACTCACCTTCAAAAGAGCAGCACGTCCAAAAAAAATGAATGACCACTGTTCGAGGGGATTAAACAAAAGCAGTGTGATCAGGTGCTTTTAATTCATCACTTCTGGAGAATTTAAAGAATTGAAGCTCAGTGGCAAAAATAGGATTTTAATCCAGCAAAATCAAAACATGCATTTTTCTCAGATTAATGAAGACTCGGGAGTCTAAAAAATGTTGAGTAGGTCCTCTGGACRAGTTCGTCTCTTGGAGCAGTTTCAGGTAAACCTTATAAGCAGTGCTTCCACAKGGTGCACAAACAGGTTTAACAACGACAATCAAAACTRTGTGTTCACATAGGATTATCAGCCTAACGACTGATTGTTAGAGTCCTGATTATCATCTACTGTTCACAGAGGGCTGAGTCAAACTCACATTAATGACACTGTAAGAGGGGGAGAGCTGGACACAGCGGCCTTCACCCCTGTTTAAMGAGGGGCGGTTTCTCTTCTCAAACCAACAGTCCTGGCCTGATGATGCTGCCCTTCTGTGCTGGGCCATCCTTTTGAACAGTGGTTGCTTTCTCAGGAGGTAAATCAAGTATATACAGTTTAGACCTTTTCTAAATGTTCTGTAAAATTACCTTAGATACCTTGGATAATAGAGTATGGAGAAAAGAGCAGAAGTCTTTGGCTGTGTCTCAGTTCAGGGGATGCAGTTCACGTACGGCACATTTGTTGGCCACTTATGCCATTGTGCTGGCTGTCCCAATTCGTAGGCRTCTTCTTATGCAGCCAACAAAACCTTGACTATGTAGGCTGCATCTGAATATCCTACTCAGCCGACCATATCCCAGGATTCATTGCAACATCAGCAAACCAAAAAAAAAAAACCAAAAAAAAAAAAACAAAGACAGCATGTTTTTTTGTTTTTCTTTTATTGTTTTTACAGCAATGTTTTAAATTCTTCATGAATCAAATAATTTGTTTTTAAATGTATGTTTAGTAACTTAGCTGATGAAATTTTTGTTGTACTGATACTGGAGCTAAACCTAAATTATTATACGTTATGTTTTTATTTTATTTTCTTATAACTGAATTTGCGGCACGGTGGCTCAGTTGGTAGAGCTGATGCCTCTCAGCAAGAAGGTCACCGGTTCAAATCCCGGTCTGGGGACCTTTCTGAGTAGAGTTTGCATGTTCTCTCCGTGCATGTGTGGGTTCTCTCCGGGTACTCCGGCTTCCTCCCACAGACCAAAAACATGACTGTTAGGTTAATTGATAACTCTAAATTGTCCCTAGGTGTGAGTGAGAGAGTGAATGGTTGTTTGTCTAGTTTGTCTCTATGTGTGGCCCTGTGATGGACTTGCGACCTGTCCAGGGTGTACCCTGCCCCTCGCACTGTGACTGCTGGATATGGGCACCAGTGACCCACGCAACCCTGAAAAGGAAGAAGCGTGTACAGAAAATGGATGGATGGATGGATGGATAACTGAATTTTGTGAAATTATACCTCCCATGAAAAGCCACATGAATGCATGTTCCAACTGAAGGCATGTGAAATGAAATTTAACACCATGATAGTGGGGCAGTGCATGGTCACGCAAACATACGTCTTCCGAAGACTATACTAAGACTGTCCCCTTTCACAGCCGTTTTATGCAGCCTACATGGATGGCCAATGGCCCATGTAAGGTGTGGACTCCATGAATTGGGACACAGTTTTTAATTGTCTAGGTCAGGGGTGGGCAATCCTGGTCCTTGGGGAAAACGGCCATGCATGTTTTCCTTGTTTCTCTGTTCTAACACACCTTATGGGAATGAATGAGTGATTATCAGGCTTCTGCAGAACTTGGAAGATATAATTCAATGACTCAATTCGGTGTGTTAGAGCAGGTAAAAAAGTAAAACATGTAGGTCTGTGTCCCTCGAGGACCAGGATTGCCCACCCCTTGGTCTAGCCTAATGGTTAGCTAAAAAAGGGCCCATTTGTAAGATTTTAAGGCTTGTAAAACAACATGCTGGTGTAAAGTTACTCTACAATTACTAGTACTGAACTGCTACATTTTTGCATGATGTCAGTTGTTTAGTTTGTCACTGTTTCCTCAACCAAATGTCGTCTGTGTTTAACCAGACTGACCAGGTTAAATGGTCAGATTGACCATTAATACTTTGTTATACGGTTAATCCAGCAAAAAGTAAGTTTGAAGTAAGAAGTGTCATAGAAGTGCTACAGCTTGTTGCAGCTGCTGCTATCTGATTGTAATCATTCATGTAAATTATCTTTGAAGTTGAAGTTGTCTTAAAATGGTCGCAATCAATCAAAATTAAACCCAGTTTCTTCAATCTGAGTGCACTATCCAAAACAGGTAGGATAATTACAACTTTTCCACAGAACTCCACTTCAAAGGAGCCCAGTTTTTATTTATGTTACACATACCTCTCCGCTTACATAACTTCAAGGGGGAGAAACAGTAAAAAGCTTGTCTTTTATACGGTATTTTGTTTATTTAAAATGGGTCTATTTTTGGAGCTTTTAGGAATTTTGCTAGGATATATTTTTTCCCAACATTCTTGCCTCTAATAACATTTGGGCTATTTTTAGTGCTTGTAAAAAGAGACACGGAAGGTTAAAACCCGAATCCTCTCCTTTTGTCTCATCACGTCTCAGCTCTGCACCTGTAACAACACATGCATGTTAGCATAAGCTTCAGCTTTGTGTCTTCATGTTCTGGTGTTTATCCAGATCTGTGTCTCCCTGATCCCTCCCCTCCTTCCTTGCTTTTTTTTCCCACCCCGGTCTCTAGACAATGAAAATTGAGGGGTGGGGGGGTGGGGATCACAAGTTGTCTATTTATACCAACAACAGCATATGGAAAAGTAGCAGCCTTTGGCTTTGCACATAAACATGAAAAGATAAGGGACAGAGCATTTATGCTTCATGTTTTGTTTTGTTTTGTTTTTTTAAAACTCAGCTGCACCTTATTCACTTTTCCAGACATGCTTTGGCTATATTTTGGTGAACATAGAGCATTTGGCCAGTGTGTTGCTTTGCTTTAAAATACCTGTAAAGTTATTGAGGATTCAAGTGAGAGTTCAATCTCATGTTGCCGAGAGTGATTTAAAAAAATTTCAAACTTTCTGGAGTAAAGAACAAATGACGCAAGTTTCTCATTTACTTTTCAGCGGTCACGTCATTTCTTTTTTTAATCATATGTTTTTCCGTCCCTGTGGTTTGCTGTGTCGTTTGGAAAGTACATTGGTTAAATTTTATTAGAGCATCATGACATGAGTTCACAAGCTGCACCCTTGTTATGGTTGCATTTTAAGCTGCCTTATCTATCTGGCTTAACTAGTTTATAGCTTATAATTTAAGTTATTAAAGTCACCTTTACACTTTCTCTTAAACATCCTTTCTGTCTTCTTCCTTTTCTCATTGATGGTGCCAGATACGTGTCTCTCCTCACTTGGCCTCTCCACATAGGTTAAAAATAAGCATCAAAGTTTTTTTTTTTTTTGCTTCATGTCCTGAGAGCTCCGCTTTCTTCTCACACACAAGGAACCATGGGAAAAGAATCTTTCCCTTACGCACATGGCACTCATAATAACAAACAGGGTTATCCATAAAACATCCAAGCTCTTGCGTCTGTTTTGCAAGCTTAGCTCAAAAGGCACAGTTGGACACGAACACCCAGAATCAAACCCTCACACACTTGGATTACAAGTGCAAAAAATAGTAAGGTTATGAGATTAAACAGTGCATGCACTGAAACATAACCTGCGCTGTGGGAAGGCAGAGGACTTTTCTCCTGCTGTGTGGCAAAGTAGTGTGGGAATTTTTCAACGAAACAACAAAACTGGTTAGAAGGTTGCAGAGACCCAGCCCAGAAAGAAGAAGAAAACAGCCATGTTTAAGAGACATTCATTCTCTCCTCGTGACACAACAAAGATAGGTCGTCTTCGAGGAAATTGGAGGGTTTCTGTGGATTCAGGTGAAACAGCGTGAACTGTAGCTGGGAGTCAGAGGGGGAGAATTCAGGGGGTGGTGGGTCAGACACCACTGACACTCTCAGATCAGCAATGGGATTGTTTCCACTGGAAAGAATTCCAAGAATGAGCCAGAAGAGCTGTCAGTGACTTCACTCAGAGGACAACAGTTTTATTACACAGCCAGCCACACACACACACACAAACACACCCTCTCACACTTTTTAAAGATACTGCGTCTCATACTGACAATGGTGTGGGAGACAATCTCCGTCACCCTGTGTCACCAAGTGCTCAATGACTTTACTCACCTTACCATTTAGGACAAATGCCTGGTGACAGCTCAGACCATCAATGGCATCATTAACAAAATGTTTCATGTAAAAGCTATGGCGTAAAGTAACAAAGTACAAGTACTTTGTTACTGTGCGTAAATAATTTCCAGTCAACTTTTTACCTCTACTCCTTACATTTTCACACAATTATCTGTACTTTCTACTCTGTCTATTTTAAAAAGATAAGAAGTAGAAAATAAAATGTCCCATTTCATTTTGGCTTGTTATTGTTAAAAAATAAAAATATATCCATATCCAAATCGTACCTCCTGGACAGAGTGAATATAATTGTGGTTGGATGAGATGTATAAATATTTACCATTTTAACCCTATTGATTTGTACAGTTCTTGATCCATCACACGTGTATGACACAAATCACATGACACTCCAGCAGGACATATCAGACATACAGTATGTAGCCTTGTATGAAGATAACTGTGGCAGAGATATACATGTAGTTTAAACATGTACTGTATCCTAAAATTTCAACATTAACATTTTAATATAAATTCATGGTAATTATGGCGATCAGAAAAACTTTTTTGTTTTTTGGTTTTGGAAAGTCACCTCCCAATAAATGTAATTTTTGATGGTCTGACCACTTACTTTTACTCAGTATTTATACTTTTAATACTTACTTACTTTTGGGTCATATTTAAACTAAAGTTTATCTGTTAGTAAGCTGATTGTTCTTTCCAAACATTAAATCTGTAAGATTCAAAAGATGCAGATTGGTAATGTTTGTGTTTTTGAACAGAGCAGATTATTTTACAACACAATTTTTCTTCCAACTAAGCTATTAATCTAACCTTGTTTTGATTCATTGGAGTTTTTGCAAAAATAATCAGTTTGAATCATAGATGATATGAAGTGCTGGTAAATAAATACCTGCAATTTTTCTCCAATTAACGCTTTGCTTTTCCATTTTGATTTGAAATCAAACTTTCTCCAAAAGCCTGCAAAAATGATTTGACGAAGATATCTTTGAGACTTAATAAGTCGAGACGTGGCTGAAGCAGCTGAGCTAAAGATAAGAGCTGCTCAGAATATCAAAATGCTACGGAAAGATGCTGCAGGACTCCTTTTCATATCTCCTTAACCTCCGAGGCACAGGAGCCAGCTTTATTAAAACTGAAGTATATTGCGTTCTCCTGCAATATAAGAACAAGGTGGTGGAGTTCAGAGGTCTCCGGCTGACGTCATGTTGCTGSGTAGCCAGGTGCAAGTCCAGTCTGCCTCTCAAAAGACTGCAGTTTTGACTTTGTGATATCTTTTCATCATTTTAACACTAAAATCACATGGTCATTGGGGGGGGGGGGGKGGACACATTTGTGACTTTATTCAGAACTGCACACACTGTTGTGGATCATCCACAATTAGTAGCTTTGTGTAATTTATAACTTCTCACTTTTCCAAAGAAAGGAATTGCTGTTTGTTTCTCCTTCCACAAAGTGACCAGAAGGTGTTGCACTTTGCCTAGTATGTCAGGTATTTACTCCCAAACATCCTCCCACAGCAGCTCTGACATTTAAAGACACTCAAAACTGGATATCCATGTTCAGTCCTATAGTAACCTCTCTTTGGGGATTTACTGTGGCAGGAGATTACCAGAGAACTTTCCATTGTAAAAAAAAAAACCCAAATCTGAACATTTATTCTCCTTAATCCCCATCAGAGCACCACTCACATTTTAACTCATGTCTCTTGTGTTTATGGGTAAAGGAGGAGTGGCTTCTGCRGGCCTTTTATTGTACACCCAGTACCATTTAATCTTCCTGTAAGTGCATCAGACTCTGACGTACGGCGGGTCAAGTTGTTTTGCAAACTGCTGAATGTCCRCAGATTCAAACTAAAATTTTAAGACAAACTGAAAACTGTTCAGGTTTTAGGAWTGAGATTTTGCTCTAAAGCAGGAGAAAGATTGTGTGCACAAGCTGAAGACAGGAAGTAGCATGTGGCCTGCTTTCGCTTCTAAACATTTACACACACGAACATTTGATGCATCTGTGTTCRTAGAGGGAGGTGTTTCTGAATGTGAAAGCTGTCAAGCAGGAAGTAACACTGCTTTCTTCTAACCACTGTAGGTAAGGCAAAGGAAGAGTGAGAAAAAAAAGTGCAAGGGGCCTACAAAAAGGAAAATTAAACAAAGCTTTAATCTCTTGGAAACTGCTTTAAGTGCAACAGAGGATTACCAAAGTTAAATAAAAATCTATTGCCCTTATATTAGGTAAACCCATAAATTATTTAAAAACCTCACACAGCTGTATAGCAAATTCAGTTTTTATTTACAACTTCAGTAATGACAAAAGTGGTTTAAATACAAAAAGGAACAAAAAGATAACACTAAAAAGGGGGGAAGGGGATAAAATAAGGCGGCTAATCTCCCTGAGCTTTACAAAAGCAATGTGGGACCTGTAGGTGACAAAAAGAGATGTTCTATACAAGCCTTAATGCCACTCAAAGCGAAAACAAAAAGACTTAAGTCATGCTTCTACAAACAGGAACATCACACACTTACACATTTTCCTTTAGACAAAACAGCAAGTTGTTGAATATTAAAATTTCCAACTAACACCATTTGGTAATTATCAGAAGTCAAYAGTGACYAAAGAGTACTGCTTTAGGTATTGCCTATAACCTTGAGCCAMCTATTCCACAGAATGGATCAGAACCTCATCGTGTCGAAGTATGGCTGTTTTCAAAACCAGGAAGACATTAAAAGAAAGTTCACTTATTTCTGCACATTATTTCTGCACATCTAAGTCTCAGGGGTTAGAAACATGCATTTAAAAGTCCTTCATTGGGTCTGTACATTGCTTATCAAGAGCCCCCTACCTCTAAAGCATTTATTTAACCCCCATTCTCAGCTTACCATCTTAACCTCTGAGCCACAGCAAACTTTTGCTTTGTCATCTGAGCACTGGTTTATGGGGGCCAATGTGATGACAAAATTAAAGCATAGCTCTGGTGTCAGTGCATAAAGCCTGTAAAGTGAATTAGTTACACAGCTTAGCAAGGCATAGTACTCCCACCCTACACATATTCAGCTGCAGGTTCTTTACTTCAGAAAACCTAAGCCCCTCCCAAAAGTATAACTTARACAAAAACCCAGTAACATTTTACACAGAACACACTTTTCAAAAACAGTCACAACATTCATTTCTGAAAGACATCTTGACAGCAGTGGCAATAAATCAAAAAGGAAACAAAAAACCCAGTGTACTGTACAATACTTTCCCCACAGGTACCACAGTTCACACAAGTATGAAGACTCCGGGGTCATGATGCCAGCCGTTTTAGAGCAGCAGGAACCCCCTCCCCCCACAGAGTTTGAGCTATTCATGGAACGATAAGGTGCGGCTCTTAAATGGGCCGTCAGCTTTGAGCTGAGACGCATGGTGGTGGAGGACGCGGCTGGAAGAAGGTGTGGGCTGAAGTTACGCATCGCCTGATCTTTTCACGTCCATGTCGGAAGAATTTCAGCACAGGAAAATAAATTATTCCCTCACTTGTTAGAGTGAGGCTTTGTATCTTTGTATGTGTGCATGTTTGTCTGACATTGAATGTGTCAGTCAAATATGCCGAGTGCTCAAGTGAGGTGTAACCAGTGTGAAAAAAAAGGTAGAGTTCATCAGAAACTATAAGCGCATGGTGTACAGGTGCCAAAACGCCACCTCTAGTGCTGAGAATTTTGTGCTGGCTGTCCATTTTGGTTGCTGCCCTCAGTCTGTTCCTCCTCTTCCTCCTCCTCTTCACTGACTAGAAACTCATCTGGTGGCCAACGAAGCTCTCCGCTTTCAACTTCTCCTTCTGTTGGCTCAACCACAATGGATGGCAGACGATCTTTGAGCTTACAGCAACGGTCAAAGTCTGAGGGATCTGGGAATATCTAGAATAAAGAGACAAAATAAACAAAAATTAGACAAGCATACAGAAACTTAGAACTAATGTTTTACTTCTCTCTAAAATGAGCCAGTTGTTCCACCTTAGGGAAAAATAATTAAACCACATATTTTCTGTGCCACACCTTTCCATGGCTGAATGATTACAAGATTTGACAAAACATCCGATTGGAAGAGATTACTTTGTCTAGTTGGAACACCTGCTCTTGCCAATCCTGCATTCCTGTTATTATAGTCATCTGTCCTTCCTCCTACAAAGAAACCCCCCAAAACACTTTGATGATCAAATGCAAACAGAGTAGACAGCTTTTCCAGTGAGATTTATAATAAATGTAACATTTTTTTTGTTCTGATTGGACAAAACAGTGCCAAAAAGCAACTATTCAAATATTGTATTAACTAAATACATTGCAGGTTATTATACACAAACAAGTAGTAAGATTTCCTTGGACTTGTTATACGAGAAGCGTTATACTGATTGTATGGAAATGCTTGGATCTGAGCGATGACATTCATTCCCTGTTCCAGCAGGAATAGGCTCAGACTCTCAGGAGTAAGTGAAATAGCACCGAGGGAGGAGGAAAAAAAAAAAAAAGTCTGCCACTTCTGGTCCAAGAACAGCATTTTTTTGCTGTTGTTTGGATAAAGTGGGTGAATATTTTTAGACCTGCATATTTCACTCMGAGTCACTGGGGGTGGGGGTGCAAGGGGGAGGCAACGACACCGTCTGGGCAAAGAGCCGAATGAAAAGAAAGCATTCAATGAGGTAGGGGTGAGACAAGAGATATGGAGGAGATCCAGCTGTGTCCGAGTCTTCCTGAATTCCGAAAGAGATGGATAACAGGGGAAAATGCTATAAATATGCTTCATGAATTAAAATTTCTCATACAAGTTTAGGCATGTAGCTGTTCAGGTTACCAAACCCCAGCTGCACATAAATGGTAATGTGCAGGCATATTTGAATAGTTTAAGTTATTTGGCATTTTTGACCTGAATCATCAACTCTACAGAGATTTGGGCAGCAAGTGACTTTGCCTTTGGACAAAACAGTGAAAAGGGATGGGGCCATTGAATCACCACATTGCCTTTTGACAAGATAAATGAGTCAGATCCCCACCCATCTAAAAACTTTTGTAAGAGCATCTGGATTTCCACAGTCATTTCATGTCAGTGATGGGTGAATGATCACCGCTTTGCCAAGGAAAGCTCAAGATATTGGGCAAATGTAGGATTTCTACCCCCCCCCCGGTCGTCTACTTCAGTTTCTCTCATCCTCACAGTTGGGGTGTGAACTAAAGACTGAGAGGAAGCAAAACATTTTCCTCAGGGTCAGTCCATTGTCTGAATGCGTGATGAGAAAGCTGCTGTATACAGTTTATAAATGAGCAGAATTATATTTAGCAGGAAAATTAATCTTGTAATATTGTTAACTCAGCCATTTTGTTCCAAAACAAATGACAGACTACATTTACCCCCACACTCRCAAGGTGCCCCTTTTACTCAGTTTCTTGTTTAGGTAAACAGTGAAACAAAGACGTGGGCAACTGCTTGTCAAAAACACATGCCTGCTGTTTTTCTTCCCTGAATCTGAAGGGTTTCATCATTTAAAATCAGTGACATCATTTCTCATCTGCAGTAAAACCAAATTAAGACATTACAGCTTGGGATTATGGCTAAACAGTTTAAAATGTTTCATCTAAGACTTTAAAGACTTGATTGATATTCTTAAAGTTAAGACACAAATCTGGTGTTTAGCACAGAGTAGCTCATTTATGTAATCCTGGTAAATGGAAAACTGTAGTGTCAAATATCCAAAAGGATGTTTTAGTAAAGAATTAAGAGGAGTTTTACTGTCTTGTTTGAGTGTCCTACCTGGAAGGAGAGCCTGTCCTTGCTCGGACTGAGCCTCATATCGTCCATGGGGGTGCTGCTGATCATCACCTCAGTCATATCTCCGACGGGCACAAACACTGGGCTGCAGGATAGAAAGATGACACCATGCAATTAGATTTATTTGACAACAGCATATTTGTTAAAAGACCATGCTGATTTCCTCACTAAAATATCAAACAGAATTACAGCACTGAATTTTTTATGTGTTTACATATCGTGTAAAAAAAAGGTTGCCCCCCCACTGAGTGCAACCAAATAATTAGGGTCATGATAATTACAAAATGTCAACATCTTGCTGCAGATAGCGACCAAACTCGATGGTGCATTCACTTTCCTGTATGTTTGACAGTTCTGTTTACATTCTTACCTGACCACATTATAAACATCCAGTTAACGCTCAGCTGTTTTAACGCACTGCAAAGCTGCACCGCTTGCATGAGGTGGCTGTTTCTAAACGACGACGTGCTGTTGCACTTGCCAGCAGGGAACAGTCATACTGAGAGTGCGCTGGAGGCGGGTTGTGGTATTTACGTGCTGAGGAACCTGTCGAGCTCAAGTTTCAGAGCTCAGACAAACTTTCCATTTCAAACAAAAATAGTAAGGCTTTAAAAGCATGCTCAACAAAAGCAATTTTTAAAGTTATTAAAAAGAACCCATCAGCCATGAACCGGTCCCAGAGCTGAAATGAGTCTTGAGATGAGATGCGGAGCAGCCTTCTCACGCTATTTAAAGCTCAGTGCCTGGTGGTCAGCGGCCACAGGCTACTGCTCTGTGTGGTCTATGGCTATTTAGGACAAAGAAAATGGAACATGACAAGATGCTGCTTTTATCTTTGTGTTATACAATTCATTGAACATGTGTACTTTCCTAGTCCACTCATACCCCCCCCCCCATCTAAAATAAAGTTAATTAAAAAATTTTAAAAACCCACCCACATTATATTGGTTTAATTGTTTCATCACTTGAAGCACACCAAATATTTATGCCACTTCATCCATGGTTACATTAAGAAGCTCTGTGGAACTTTTGAGTAAGGCACAGTTTGTTCTCTTTTATGACTCAAAGGTTCCTGAGAATGTTCTTTGTAAAGCTTTAATTTCAAATATAAAAATAAATAAATCTTGCAGTTTGCAATGTTCAGGTGTGTAGAGTCAAAAACACTAAAATAGGGAACAGATCATTTGAACCACTTGCTTTTTGTTCATATGACAAATTACAGATTAATGTTGCTCTGAGGGGAAAAAAGATCAGATGATTTAACAATTCTGATTGTCACTTTTGAAGACTTAAGCTCAGATTAACTTATATCAAATTTACTGTGCTGTAAGCATTTAAACAGCAAAACCAAAGCATATTGAGGGAGGTTAAGTAGTGCATCTGTTTAACTTGCAGACATGTAGCAATCTACAATTAGCAATCATCCTAATGAGGACTGTCTTGTGACACGAGTCGATTTCAGCAGAACAATAACCCCTGAAGCAAAGGCAGTTTCACTTTTTCCATCCCTAAAATTTTCCACAAAGTAAAAGTCACAACCTTTTGAGATGGATTATTTCATGGATAGATCTTGCAAYGACACAATTTACTGTCTAAAATCATCTACAAAACAAACATACAAAAAATTAAATGAATAAAATCAGTGGTGACTGATTTGCATTCATTTCACCCCTGAGCATGCAGAAGATAGCTATAGGCAGACATGCTAAAAAGCAGTAAAGAGGCTGACAGGAGGGATGAACGGTGACAGAAGAGACCTGAGCAGACAAGGAGAAGCGAAAGGGAAGGAGTAAAAGGGAAGGGAAGATAAACACTCGGTCCTTGCCAGTCATATTTCTGTTCAGGGATCATATAAACATCCTGCTCAGCTAAGAATAACAGAACGTCTCCTAATAAAACATAAAGGGGCACAATGAGGAGGAAGTGGGCGTGCACAAAGTAAAAATTCAACCTGGGATAAAAACACGCACTAAAACCAGTCTTATAGCCTCAAGGACAAGATGAACAATATGTCCCTTTGCAGAATATTAAATACCTAGATGGCATACTGGAAGTTCTCCAAGTACTCAGCTGACAATTAAATTCACTTATGATTCACAAGCATTACAACATTACAAACACCTGAAATGACCCAACATGACACATCTGTAAGAAACAGATTTTAAGATAAACTAATATTTTTTAAGTGAGTGATTCTGACTAGGCAGATGACTAAATCTCGACCATTTGACCTCRTCAACATAATGGATACCTGATCTTGCCAGCTTCCTAACTCCACAACCATCCAGGGCACAGACTGAACATAGATACAATCACAAGAAGAGCCACGTCGCACAAGTTGCCCAAAAGTCAGGTTTCAACAAAGACTGCATTTATTCAGCTGATCTTTGCCTAGCTAAAAGGTGTTTTGATTTTGGAGACAGAAAGCCTGCATAAAGTGTGATTAACTACAAACAAAATCAACCAGCTTTTTTTAAACAACCTTATGTGTGAACCTTTAAAGTCTTCAAATCCAGAACAAGCGACCGCCAATCCAATACGTACTGTAGCTCCTTACTCGTTGGTGCTGACAGGTGCTCATGTAGTCTCTGCAGCACATCCGTGCAAGAGGGAGGATTTGCATCTTGCATTATCAACATACTTTCCCCTTCCATCTTCTCACGGCTCTCACTACTACGATCATAAATTTCGGCCTGTGTGGCAGCAYGGAAAAGCTGCTGCTGACATTTGAGACCAGCACTGTGCTTTCCACCAGCCGAGCTGCAGGTAYGAGAGTGTTGCTACAGGGATGGCTGAGTAAGTCTCCCCCCCGGGGTGAGCAGGTTRCCAACTCAGAGGATCTGTTTCCCCTGAGATGATGTGCATAATCATAATAGTTTYCTGACATTTATACCTTGGGCACCAGCTAAAAATAGAATTTAAAAATAAATAAAGGGGGGCAATTAGTGCATCTTCCTGTTCACACTGAAAGAGGAAGTACTTTGGGAAGCATGCAAATCTCAATTAAATTGAGCTCAATATTCTAGTCAAGACTGAGAACAAAAAGCAGCTGCCATAGATGAAGACATAAAACTCCCCATCAATCAGACGCTAAATGAAAGCAAGAAAATATTATGACAGAAAAAAATTCTCAACTTCCTGGTAGATGGGCAGTAAAGACCTGAGGTTTTCTTGCTAAACAATGGTTCAGAGCAACTTGGGAATCCTGTCAAAGACAAAACTTAATTCCTCATTCTTAAAAAATGAATACAAAAAGATCAGGAAACTGCACTTGAGACTTTTTTTCTCCACCTGCTGTACTTAAAAAGGCAAAACAGGAAAAGCTACGCAAGTCCCTGTATAAAGAGGTCAAAATAAAGATTAAAAACCAGGATTAAAATACGGTTTTCCTAGAATAGAGTGACAGGAAACAAAAAAAAAATGCACAAATGTGACCTTTTTGAACTGGCAAATGCAGCAGAACTCAACTAGTATTAGCTGAACAGCTGAAAAGGGGGGGGGGNTTTTTTCCAAATCTCTAATCCGTATATGCCCCGAAATTTTCCAGCTTCAGGGGCAACACCCCACAGAAAACCTTTAARGGAAACAAGAGTGGGTGTTGCAACAACAACAAAAAAAGTAGCTGCTTCAGAGGGAAATCACCAAACAAAGAGTAAACCACAAACATGTTCTTTCCTAACAGGTAAGGCTTCATATTTAAAAGTTTTTCCAACTACAGGAGCTGCCATTGAGCTCATTAAATAAAACCTCCCACAGCTGAAGAACAAACGTGTCATCTGAACAGGTGCTGGCTAATCAAAAAGGTGAATACTCACCAGAATATCTGAGGTGAAAATGCAGACATGAATTCACTCCTGCTGTCAGTTCAGTCTGGAGGGGTCTAATTAATTTAATTAACACCAGCTGACTTCTGTCGACGCTCGTCTTTTGACTACAAGTAAAAAAAAATAATAATGTAAAAGGACGCGCAGACAAAAACGAAAGTAAAAACGGGACGAAAACCAACCACTTGAACCACGAGCCTCCGCTCCACAACTCAACGAGTCTGTTCAGACTCACAGCTGTGTGGCGACTATTTATGCGCGAGGCGTGTGCTCGCGCAGCCGGAGACACGCCTCCCTGACTGCTGGAGCCGAAAAAATCCTCAATGGCAGCTCATTAACTTCTGCGGCCAATCAGAGCGCAGGTGACTCAAGCCTGGCTCCGCCCACCCCCACCGCAACCGATGACGACAGCAGTGACAGGAGCCGTTCACTTGGGAATGGACGAGAAGATGCTGCAAGGTGCAATTGATTTGCAGTCTCCAAGGCAACAAAATGAACGTCTCAACATCCTTTGGATGACAAAAACCACACTGATTTGCCCGTTAGGTTGTCCGTGACTGTTATCCAGAAATTTTTTTTTTGGGGTGGGGGTGGCTGAATTCATTCACAAATCCAAGGGCAAATCAGTGACTGCATGCACCAGCATTAAAAAAGTGAGGTTTGACACTTTAATGTATACGCACAAACAAACATGAGCACATCACAGATGCTCTTTCCTAATAAAATTATTAAAATATCTTAATTTTTATTTTCAAGATTCAGCCATGTGTGCATGTCACCTTTACTGGAAATCTGACCTTCTCATCTTATAAAATGCCCAGTTGCCTTATTTTCCCAGCACACTGTGTGCTGTACATTTGGGTCATGGGAAGGAGGTGCAGCAGATGGTAACATGCAGGTAGGCCTCCACTGCCACCTTGTGACTGTTTCCTTTTGATGAAAGCATTTTTAAAGGTGAATCATTTTGTAATCTTTAGGATCCAATGAAGACGACATTGAAATGCAGCTAAAAATCCCTGAAAGATCTTGTATTATTTGAAGAAATGCATATCTATGCATATTTAGCTCAATATCTTTAAATTGGACTAAGTCAGAGTCACTGCTGTGTTGGCTAAGGTCGGTTAGTCGTGGCAGCCATCTTGAATTGTGTTGACTCCACAAGTTACTTGGTTGATAAAATGACTTTATGATTATTCAAATAGTTTAATTAAAATCCATCAGTTGGTTTATAAGATAGTTTGCCAAAATACTAATAAAGATT